ACCCCCTCAGGAAGCTGGCCGGCCACTTCACCCAGGACAAGGCCCTGCGGCAGGAAGGACTCCAGGGAGCCCTGAGCTGGCCCCCGGGGGCAGCTGGAGCCGTGAGTGCCGCGGGAGCGGGTGGCCGCATGGGTGCATGTCGTGGGCAGGGGTGCGCGGGGGCGAGCAGGCAGGTAGTGCCGGGGAAGCGCTGTCAGCCGAACTTTCTGTGTGGGTTTAGCAGGTCTTGGTGTACGGGGTAGTGGGGGTTGAATCTGCTGGGGTAATTGCCTACTATCTCCCGCAGGTATCAAAACCTCTGGCAGTGGCCTCTGAAGATGAGGTAAGAACCTTATCTGCACCTCCTCACTGCTTTTCTTCTCAGCATCTTACTTGCTATTTTTTTTTCCCCCGGTGCGCTCTTTCCTTCTGCTCTGCCTGCTTCTTTCTCTTGTGCTCTGTTACTCTGACTGTGTGTGCTCTCTGCTGTGTTCAATCACTATCTGTATCTTTGGCAGCTGGTTGGAGAGTTCCTGCAAGAGCAGAATGCGCCTCTACTGTCCCGAGCACCGCAGACCTTTAAGATGGATGACCTGTTGGCTGAGATGCAGGAGATTGAACAGTCAAACTTCCGTCAAGCCCCTCAGCGAGGTGAGGAGAGCCGAAGGAGGTGGAAAACCGGGAGAGATCTTGGGGTTTGGTTAGACTCCTAGCAGAGCAGTTCCTGTCTGTTCAGTATTTGCAAAATTGTATCTGGAGGCTGAAATACATGATACAAGAGGAAAGGCTGAGGGTGCTGTGTTTGTTCGGCTTGGAGGAGTATAGGAGGGATCTAACTGCTGTCTTCAGCTGCCTAATGGGGAGACAGAGATGGAATCTTTTCAGTCATGCACAGCAAGAGGACAAGGAGTAATGGGGACAAGTTGCAAATAGGGCAACAATCTCTAGAAATAAGGAAGAGTTACTTCATTTGGAGGATGGTTCAGCACTGGAACAGCTGCCCAAAGAGACTAGGGAATCCTTTGGGATTCTAGAAGCAACCTGGTCAGGTCCCTGAGCAACCTGTTCCAGCTTTGGAGTTACCATGGTCTGAGAAGAGAGGTGTCTTAGAGATCCCTTTCAAGTTAAATCTTTCTGTGAATCTGCTGTAAGAGAGAAAGGAACCTGATCAGAGAAGATAAGGGCTGTCTGAAGAAGCTTGGGACACTTAAATCCCATCTCTGAGTTCTCCCATCCTCATTTGTGCTTTTCTTCCTGTAGCTCCAGGAGTGGCAGACTTGGCTCTGTCTGAAAACTGGACCCAGGAGTTTTTGGCTCAAGCAGATAGCGCTGGTGATGTTTCTTCAGACTATAACGAAGCTGACTGGTCACAGGAGTTCATTGCTGAAGTGACAGGTGAAAACCATTTCAGAAGTATGGCTGAAATGTTGCTTGATCACATGTTTTTGTACGGATTACTTGCAAAACAAAACAAAAAAATAGATGGTATTGTTTCCCCCTGCAGTGTTTATTGTAGAGAGCTAGATAGATCTCTTAATGTACTTTTTGTATTCCTGGGAGTGACTACATAAATCCTCACATTTGCTAAGGTCTTCAAGAGAGTCCTGGTGAAAAGCACTAGAGACTTGTGACAGACATTGCTGATTTTCCTGACTTACAGGCATTTCACATAGACCAACAGTGTGTGTTGTGAATTTGAAGCAGACAATCATAAAAGATACTGGCATATCACCACTCTGGCATCTGTCTGAGGAGACTCTCTGAACCCAAGTTTCAGCTTTTAGATTCGAGTAAACAGTTAGGAGAAATATGCATTAACAAGCTTTCTTTGAAGCAATTCCTGGATGTGTTAGCTAACTACAGGTAAATTGAAGAGAGCAAAATCTGAACTTAACGTGGGTTATGTTCTACACACATTACTTCCCATTCTTTCCCATGTCCTGTGCAGATCCACTGTCCGTGTCTCCTGCCAAGTGGGCAGAAGAATACCTAGAACAGTCAGAGGAGAAACTGTGGCTTGGGGAATCAGAAGACCAGTCATTGGCAGATAAATGGTGAGTTTTTATTTTCAAGACTAGTTATTGCTTCTAGGCAGCTGGATGAGTGGAGTATGGATATATGACAGAAATACTGCATGAACTTAATGCTATTTGAGTGGTATAACTGAAGTCACAGGCCTGAAACCAGGCCGTTGGTTTCAGAGAAAGGGAGCAACAGTGCATGGAGACTGAGGTTTTCTATGGGATCCCAGCTCTTATTTTACTAGTTCCAGGAAGGCTTTGTGATTAGGGTAGATAATCTAATGCCTAACATAAGGTGATTTAGTAGTGAGTTCAGTAACTCGAGCAGAATTTGTTTTCCACAACAGATGCCTTTTTAGACTTGCAGGTATCAAGTCTAATCATTAGAAATCAACTAATTGTGAACTTTCATTACCTTGTTCTTCCTATTTGACAGACCACATCCAGCCTTTCCTCTGCGTATTTCTAGATTCAGCCTTCCAGATGCTATTTTTCTGTGTGATAGATTAAATAACCCTCAACTGTTAGAAATCTGCTCTTTATCAGTAGTCATTGACCACAATCAAGGTTTTCAGTTAAAGAAGCAAAACCAGAGCAAATGTGTTGAGTAGTGTGCTCTCTGTGAACCTTAAATCCTCTTCAGAACTGCTGCTTTCCCGAGATACAATTCCCATAAGTGTGACCTACTTTCTTTGTTCCTAGATGTGCGACCTTGTGTTTGGCAGCATTAAAATGTGTGATTGTTTATAGCATAGTAGCTTACCAAGTCATTTAGACTGTTCTGCAAAACTCTGCTGTCATCATAATTGCTTAATTCTGCTGCTGTTTGTGTAATTTGCACAACTATCCTACAAATATTTTTGAATATATATGTATAGGATAGAGGTACTCTGGAGACTTCCTTCCCTCCATCCCCAGAGTCTTTTGTGGGGGGTGGGGGAATTAAATTCTTGAATAATGTTGTCTGCCCCTTTGTGTTAGTGAAGCTCTGGGCCCACTAGTGTTAGTGAAAGATTTCACTCAGCGTGATGCTATCAGACCACCTCTTTCCC